CACACACACTTGTTTTGGATCAGTGAGGTTGGAAATTCGGATGTTTTAAGGCATCCAGATAACTTTGGTCATTAAATGCTAAAAGTAACAGACGCCTTTGCGGTTTATTTGATAATATTCGACTTCTTTTTTTTAAAAACTATGATGTTGCTTGCTGATATGTTATTTCTTATGTTTTCACTCTTGGGGAATTTTTATTTTTATGTTGTTTGGGGTTTCTATTTTAGAATTTGAAGCGTTAGTGAAACCTTGTGGCAGGTGCCGCTTTGATTTGACGACTGTACAGCTAGTGTTTTCCAATTTGAAGTGGTAGCGTATGACCGTAGTCTAGTCCCTGTCCTCATGTTTTCGCCCTTTCTCCCTTGGAACCTGCCCTGTGCCTACCCTGTAACATAAAATGATTAATAATCATCTGTGTTTAATATCCCCTTAGACCACTAGTGTATGACGCAGTGGAATTTGTTGTATTAATCCTTAATTTAATTATAAGCTTTCTGTGGATGAATTATCAAAGAGCTTTTGTATTGGCCCTTTTTAAATGTACTGCATTTCTGATGAGCCTGGTCTTTTAATGTTTATTTGCGTTTTGCTTTCTGTTAACAATTCTATTCCTTTGGTACATATTATATGTATTTTGAATTTAGCAGTGATATCCCAATGAATAGCAAACTAAGATTTCGGAAGTATTTCCTTCAGTACTTGGTATTTTCCGCCTCTTTGTTTTTATTTGTGAAAACTATTGTTACTGGTGGCCATAGACTAACTTTTACGCTAGCCATTGAACTTGAAATATCTATAATGTACATCCAACAGTCAGTCAAATTTGTTAATGGAAATGAACTTTAATTATTTTTTAAAAATTGATAAGTAGGCTACCTTAAAATTGTTACTCCTTATTGCATTATTTTAACTTTCCCTTTTCATGACTGCTGTCTAATGAGCTTCTTATTCCATGTCTATGTTCGTAGCAACGTCATCGTAGCGATGACCAGGTTAACAACCGTAGGACATACGTCCTTCGCAATGAAGAGATTGTGGAGGAGAGGTGGCACAAGGTCAAGGTCGGGGACATCATCTTGCTCAAGAACAACGACTACATTTCTGTTAGTACAAATAACCTTTTAAAAACGATTTTTATTTATTTGTTTGCTTGTTTGTTCATTTATCATGTATTTATTTGGGGGGGGGCAATGATGATTGTATTAGTGAGCATGCGGGTGGTTGGAGGGCGCAACTGGTAGGGCCTGCTTCTATTCTTTCCCTGTGTTGTTGTGTCGTCTGTTGTATGCTTCTCTTTACTCCAAGAAACTAATAAATAAACTTTGATGAGCATATTCGTTCCAATTTACAATTTTTGTCTCCTGGGAGACATATCGTTGCAGCCTGTTCGTAGCTCACAAGCTATCCATCAGTTGTTTCCGAGATTTTCCGTTGCTAAGGACCCATTTGCTGCTGAGTGAATTGAGGACTTGAAGATAAAGTGCCTTCCCTTCAGACGGAGTCGTCAATATGGCTGAGCTGTGTTAATGCTCATACTGTGCCGGAACAACATAGGGGGGACTGCTGCTTTTTCTTTCCTCGTCCTTACTGTCGTCATTTATCTTCTACTTCTTTTGTATATTTGTCACTCTCTTGTGAACTGCTATTTCCACGGTGCCTTGATAGCCGAAACAGGCTTTGTGCTGTTGAGGCCAGAGAGGTGAGCTGAGTAAGTCTGAATCCCCGTTTTGCCCTCTATTTCTATGTTGACATCCACCCCTTGGCGCTCGTATGACCTTATGATGCCGTTGCGAGCGCTGAAAACCCTACTAACACTAACTAACTGAGCTGTGTAAATCAGCGTCAGGGGTGTAACATTTAGGCGCCTTGCTGTAACATTCAAAAGACATGAGTTCAGTTTTTGTTTTTAAATACAGCGCCTCCATATTCTGTCTTCTGACCATAGTTTTTTTTAGCTGGGTAACCGAGGTCACGGTGTTACAGTTGCCAGTCTTGTGCCTCTGTCACTATTGAGACGCCCCCCTAGATTGGGGGGGGGGGGGTAACTAGTATTTGAATTTGTAGCTTATACTGTAGCTTTGGTCAAACCAGAATGCCAATATTGGTCTATCGTTTAATTAATCTTGCATTACTGTTGCCATATTCAAATATTCAACTATGATTTATTTCATGCTACTGTAACTGATTAAATAAGCCCTTTTTTATATATAAACAATGTATATCACTGATGTTGTTGTTGTTGTTGTTGTTATCGATCCAGCAACAGCTGGGCTCTCGCCCTTCTGTCCAATGCCATGTAGTGATTAGTGCAGGTCTGCTGCAGTTGCTGTAATGTTCCATAGAGTGTGTTGTCTATGTTAGGTCTCGGAGGGAGAAGGGTAGTATATCACTGATAAAACGTAGACACTCAATCATTTTGGTTGGATTTTGTATGCTTCTGATAGTCTAACTAAGTCCTCAAGACCATGTATCGTGTGTTGTTGATAAAACTTATATAGGGGAGTCCATTATCTGGTAAAATTAAAAGTCTGAAAGCTCCCCTCCCCCCTTCCAATCTCCCTATCCCTTCACTTTTCACCCCCTTTCTGTCTCCCTCTCCCTCTCCCTTTCTTCATGCTCTCTCTCTCTTACTCTCTCTCTCTCTCTCTCTCTCTCTCTCTCTCTCTGTGTATGCGCGCGTGTGTGTGTGTGTGTGTGTGTGTGTGTGTGTGTCTGTCTCTCTCTTTCTCTCTCTCTCTCTCTCTCTCTCTCTCTCTCTCTCGTTATCTCTCTCTGTCTCCTGTGTGTGTGTGTTTCTTTCTCCTTCTCTCTCTATCTCTCTCTCTGTCTCTCTCTTTCTCTCTCTCTCTCTGTCTTTCTCTCTATATATGTGAGGCGAGCTGACAAAATGAGTTATTTCTCGCAATCCACAAATATAGATGTTGGCCAAAATTCAACATTAGGGTCAAATTTGTAGATTTTCTGTTGATGCCCTATTATTATTCTTTAACTGTAACCTGTCTTTTATTATTTCCTACTTACAAATTGCAGATATAAAAATGTCACTTATAAGCG